ACCATCGGGGTGGTGTGTAAGGCCCCGTAGGGTAACGGCAACCGCGTTTTGGATTCATTCAAAACCTATGGATGTGAGAGGGACTGCTTCCTATTGCATGACTTCAATGCGCCTATTATTGACTTGTTTCCTCCACTGCGGACTGTCCGCAGTCATTTGATGCTGGTCTTCTTGGAGCAGTCCTTGATGCCAACCTATTTCAACACGTCTCCACGCCCACCAGAATACTCCAAAGCCAGACATCACACATTCTTAATTTGGTACTCTCACCTGTACCCTTTGACATCTCTGGATTGATCACTCTCTCATCGATTGGTCGTAGCGATTACTGTACTTTCCTCTTTACGTGGACGCGACGATTTGTCAGTTAAGGGTTTAACATCGATGCCGATCTTACCTGCCTAAGAGCGATGGCTAGCATGTTGGTCTGGAATACCCCACAAAATCTTGACCTCGATACTGCCTTGACACTTCTGTACTCTAAAATGAACCAGCTCACTGAACAAGTGATCCCAAACACAAGAAGAAAGAGCTCCACACGAGAGCTCCTTGGATTGATCGGAAAATACGGCTTTAATAAATCCTCGAAAGCAGCTGTGGAGCCGTTTCAAATCTACCAAAGTGACCTTAAATTATTTAAACTACCAGAGGCTCAGAAACTTTTGTACTACGCGAAAGCGGGAGAAGAGGTAACAGTTTGAGTAGTCTCGCAGCACAGTCTGTGTCCAGATCTAAGGAACACTACACTTATATTAACAAAAGGACCAACATCGGCTGTGGCATAACCGCTTTGTTAGCCAGTTCAACAGATTCCGTTCTTTATGAAAACGGCGCGAAAGTAGCTATTCTGGCCCCGCATTATCCATCTTTTTGCGCACACGAGGACCCACCGCTCCACAATCTCGATACTTCGAATCCCAGCCGTTTTGAGGACATCGAATTCAACGCGGCAACTGATGTGAAGATGTTGCTCGAGCTAGATCCTACCTCTTCACCTGGTCCTGACGGGTTGCATCCCCTGTTTCTCAAGACAGTGGCAGATTACATTGCCACACCCATCTGACAGATTTTTCACCTCTCGATAACAACAGTACATCGGCCATTTGAACTGATACTTCGCTGCCATGCAATTATGATGACCTATGAAATAAAGGATAATAAGAGAGAGAGAAGGGGGACTTACCTGAAAGCCTTAATGCCCTAAGCAAATATTCAGGGTCAAGGCGCCTACACCTTGTGTAGACAACATACCGTCACAAACCGCTGGCTATCGTGCAAAGATAAGGCGGCATCGGCGAGACAGCTTCCTTGCGGCTTTAATTGTCCCGCGTCATAATCAGCCATTACCCCGCAGATAACTCAGCACCAAACACACTTAAAACTGACACTTCGGCGCCCACTGTCTAAAGGCAGTGTTACTAAGAAACAACGTGCTGCGAACACGGTTGCATCAACTGAATGCAGTTGAAGGTCACTGGTCTCATGTCCACCAGACCTTACTAGAAGCAAGTAACTCATTACGTGGTACATCCACTAGCATCCGCGTAGGGGTGGTCGTCCTCACGGTATACTCAGCCCGCGCGCGACTGGTGGTGGTCGCGCGGCAGAACATAGACATTAAGTCTCTTTGCAGTCTCTGGAACTTATCAATGCTCTCCGGCACATTTCGGGTGGGAACGAACACAACGGGACTCACAAAGACATCAGGCCAAAACTCCATGCTAGCCTGAAGGGAGACAGAGAATCTTGATGGTCGCATCGTGCGTCGTAGATGGAAATGGCCGCTGCCGTTGATAGCCATCTGAACTTATTCTGTTTGGAACTGGAGATGCAGCAGAAGACCTGGTGTTAGTCAAACTACTTATGACGAGGGTGGACAGCCTATCTTGTCAAAACCCTTGAGCGTTGGGCGGAGCATTTTAAGAAGCAATTCAATCGGCCGGAATTGTTAGCTTCCTCACTGACCAGTGATCGCCCTCCGCCCAGGGCTGTCCCCTTGGATCCGTCCTCTCGCTCAGAAGTCGAACTTGAGATCACACTGTTGAAGTCGAATAAAGCAGCGGGACCCGGTGATCTTCATGCAGATCTCTTTAAATTCGGGGGATCTGCTCTTGTGGATGATTTACACGAATTGCTAGTGAAATTGTGGGAGAATCAAACTGTCCCAACCGACTGGAGCTGCTCCGTTATTGTCCCTATCTTCAAAGGAGCATTACCTTCAGAATGCGGAGGACAAAGAGGTATCAGTCTGATCCCCCATCGCCTTCAAATTGCTTGCCTCTGTACTCCTTCACAGACTGACTGGCATTTGTGAAAGCCAGCTTCGTGAGGAGCAAGCCGGGTTTCGTCGCAGTAGGGGATGCCTCGACCAAATATTCATCTTGCGCCAGTTGTTGGATCACCGTCACACATATTGGTGGCCCACTGTTGTCGGGTGCCTCGACACCAAACATGCTTTCGATTCAGTTGATCGATGTGCCCTTTGGTACTCTACTCAGGAAAGTTGTGCCCGATAAATATGCAAATATTATGTGCACTATACTCGCGTAGATCGGGTAGAGTTGTAGCTTACGTCAAGCTGTCGCAGCTCTTCAATATCTCCAGCGGTGTAAGGCACGAATGCCCGTTCTCATCTTTCTTCTCCAACTTGCTATTAACGAAGTTATGGAGATCACGTTCAAGAGACACAACATGGAAAATGTAACGTTGCTCTCAGCTTAACGACCTTTTGACTAGGAGTATGCGGACGATATTGCCCTCCTCTGTGACAGCTCACAAATGTGCGAAGCGGCACTGGACAGGTTAGCACTGGCTGTCAACCGTTTTGAGCATTGCTTTGCTTTTGTTTGGACCGGTAATCCGTATATCCGGGGTTCGATTCCCCGTCGAGGCAGATTATTGTGCACAGTTTAGTCGTGGCTTCTATTTTCTACAACACCTTAAAAGTGCCAAGCTTTCTTCCAAAATTGGCATGGACCGCCTCCTACGCCGACCCTTGGTGGGGATCAAAAATTCAACTACCTGTGAAGTTGTATCAGCGCCCGTGGGATTTAAGCCGAGATCACAAACCGTATAGCAAAAGCCCGAGGCGCTTTTGCTCAACTTCGCCACTTATGGCGCCGGCGCGACATCACACTCCCTGAACGGTAAAGTGCACAATGCAGCTGTATGTTCGACCCTACTGTACGGTTGTGAAACCTAGCCCATTAGATCGGCAGACATAACGAGGCTAGCTGCTTACGACCACCGGTGCCTTCGCAGTTCGGCTGACATCTGGTGGTAACCCTGGATGAGCAACGAGCATGTTCAACGCCTTGTTTACGGCACAGGAAAAGGAAATGAACTGCTCAGCACCGTTACTTCACGCACCAGGCTCCGATGGCTGGACCACGTGTTGCGCATGCCAGCTCACCGACTCCCGCGATGTGCGTTGTTTGCTCTACGTGGGTGTGGATGGAGGAAGAGGTGGGGTGGCCGAGCGATGAATTGGTCGAGAGAAATGGAGGCCCTTACTTCGAAGTTGGCTTCGCTTGGAGCATCTCGGCTCCCTGATTGGGGACCCAAGGACGATGAACACGTTTGGCTTCATACACTTGTTAACATGACTAGGAGCGGACCTCATTGACATTTGTGTTGTGAGTTTCTTTGTCCGTCGTCCTGTTTAGCCACCCCCTCCAACGACTATTAAGCATAATATAACTTTTGCGACACAATAGCCGACTGACAGCTCCCTGGAACGATGTCCATCCGTTACCGGTGGCGTGCCCCTTGCATGTCTTTTATTTTCTATTGCGACACAATAGTCGTGGTATTTTCCACTTGCAGCAAACGTGTACAATGATGATGATGAACGCCCATCAGTACCCTTTATCGTTTCCAGATGATTTATTCGCAAAAATGAATGGAAGTAAGTGTTTCGCAAAGCTGGATCTCTCAGATACATACATGTAGATCGAGGAACATGAAGCCTCACGGGAATTACTCACCACCAATACGCACCGGGACTTTTACCAGTAAATCCTCCTTAACAATTTGTTGATAGGACGAAGGCCCGACCACTGTGGCGTTTGTGTTGTGACTCTCTTTGTCCCTCCCTCTTCCGTTTAGTTTTCCTTTTCAACAATGACCTCATCCTCGATACGCGTTATTCTACTAAGCACTACACTACACTTTGGGGTTTTTCTTTTGTATTCTTCTATGTTTAGCATCTCACTTTTTCATGTCTTATCCTTTTGTATTTCGGCACAATAGCCGAAGTGTGTTCCTCATCTTCAGCTGATGTGTAACCATTATGTTAAAAATGTTGAAAGATATCAGTAATACACCGGTTCGTTGCGTCGACGCATAACTACCACGAGAGCGCCGCCAGTCCCGCGTGGGCTAGGGATAATACGAGGTCGCCCGCACCTGCGCATCTTCGGGCCAATTGTGGAAGCTTACAACCCTTTCTTTAAACAGCCATGGAAATCGTCTCACGAGTTATACTCATCCGAATTGACATAGATCACGGGCCTCATGGACAGCTTCCGCCAATGGAAGAACGCAATCCCTGTCCACTGGTTTACAACCGCTCGCTTTAAGTTAGCGTCTTATGGTCTCTACATTTCAGACTCACCCAAACTGCCCAGTGATTAACAATAGTTCTGTGTATATTTTAATAAAGCCATAACACTAACTGAACTATTTTTCCGTTGGTTTTTGTTTTCTTATGTCTTTCATTTTTCGTCGTAGTTTTGTTGTGCCGTCATTGTGACTCTATTAATAGTTCTTAGATTCACTTCATTCCTACATTCTGGTTCATATTTGATTAACTTGATCGCACCACTATCTGTTATCTGTGTTCCATGACTGACTGTCTTATTAGCCTATATTCTTTGTGCATAATAGCCTATCCGATCTTTCCAGCCACGTAGATCAGACACGTTGCATACCAACAATTTAATCCGACATTTTTGTGCATGCCAACATTTTGGCTCCGTGACGTTGAATTTCTTACCTAAATGAGTTCCTCCTCAGGCGATTCCAGAGACCGGAAAGTTGCTCTTATCACTGGGATAACGGGTCAGGATGGTTCTTATTTGGCGGAATTCCTTTTGTCACATGGATATGAAGTGTGCTGCTGTATTTCTTTTCTCGATTTCTTAGGTTCATGGCATAATAAGACGCGCAAGCACTTTCAACACCGCTCGCGTGGATCATATTTACACCGCGCAACAAAGCGCCGATAAACGTGTGCACTAATACATACTGTTCTGATCCGTTTTCAAGGCACTTTTTTCCTTCACTATGGTGACATGACCGATAGCTCATCTCTCATCAAGGTTATTAGTCAAGTTATGCCCAGCGAAATATACAACCTGGCTGCTCAGTCACACGTGAAGGTAACGGAGCTTTTCAAGTTTTACGTCGCAGGTATCTTTCGAGCTGAGTGAATACACTGGGGACGTTGTGGGCTTAGGAACCTTACGCCTTTTGGACGCAATCCGTACATGCAAGATGGAGCATCGTGTTAAGTTTTACCAAGCTTCCAGCAGCGAACTCTATGGAAAAGTTATGTCCAGTCCTCAAACTGAAATTACACCCTTTTATCCGAGGTCACCTTATGGTGGGTAATAACAATTTCTTTAGTTACGTATACTTCGTGGAGTCGGTTATTCATTACCACTTTGCGTGCTCTCTGTTGGCACTTGAGTGATTATCATGACTACACTGCTACCGCCTTTACATTTTGACGAAACGCTCTTGACTCCTACTCATATCCGTCGCTGTACAATCCACCGTAATTACTATCATTGTCTCCATGACCCGCATACTGCTGCTGCTGCTACTGATTTGCCATTTAAACTATTCAGTATTGGACTGAAACGTACGTTTTAATCGGCTGTTTGTTTCGCTCAATACATGACAGTTTACTATCATCATCGTCATTATCATCATCATCACGGGCCCATTTTGTTTCTGATCCACATCAACAAAGTGCCCCAGCATCTTCGGTCACCTTGTGCTATGTTTGCAGTCAACCCGAAGCTTTTGGAAAATAATTGAGGTTCCTGATGACTGTGAAGTACTTCAGCATGACCTCGACCACCTGTCCAGATGGTGCAGATCTCGATCTGCCGGTCAACCCAGTCAAATCGTTATATATGAGCATGGGGAAGGATGTTGATCGGCGTGCGTACACACTGGTCGGCCAACCACAACATCCCACACTTTCGATGAGAGATCTCGGCATACTCACGCTGCGATTTGAAGTCCGTAGACAACACGAACTAGCTGTATGGAACCGGACTGCACATGTTTTGGCCGCTCAGACAACTTCTGCATTTGGTCTGAAGAGATTGCCACTCGTCACTTCTCTTCCATCATAAGACCGCTGCTCGAGTACGGGTCAGCCGCCGTCGTCATCATCATCATAATCCTGTACCACAATCCAAAAAGACAAGAGGTATTGAAAAACTGTAATACAAATGGTTACGGAATGCAATATAAAAACTAAGTACTTAATATGACTATCAGCGTCATATTACACATCGGGTGTGAGATCTTGCCTTGAGTGGGAAGATAAGCGCCATGAAGACCGGCACTTTGCCGTGTCAACAAGTGTGTCCAACTTAACGTGTTCATCGTTCTTCACGTGACCCAGCCATCGGAGCCTGGTGCGTGAAATGACAATGCTGAGCGGTTCACTCGTTCTTCCTGCAATAAAAACGAGACCCCGAACACGCTCATTGCTCACACTGTGTTCCCGCTAGATATTAGCTAACCTGCGAAGGCAGCGATGGTCGAACGCAACTAGCCTCTTTATACCTGTTGACTTGATGGGCCACGTTTCGCAACCGTACGGTCGGCTGCAATCTAAAGTTTGCCCTTCAGATCGAGCGTGATGTCGCGCCGGCGCTAAATATGGCTTAGATTAGCAACAACGTCTCAGTTACTAAATTATGGTCCTATCAAGGTGTGGTGGATCCGATTGTCCTTATTTTGGCCGCCGCCACCGAACTTTCGGTCCGTGACGACTGAGAGGAAAGGGTTATTTAAGCAACTTTCTTGCCTCCATGTATCGTAGGAAACTCGGAAGACAGCTCTCTTTGAACTCTTATTCTGCATCGACAATCGCAGTCAAAGGTATTCTGCTGACACGCCCTTCAACGATGTATATCGTAACAAGCTGGTACGGTCAGCTGAACCGAAGCCGGCTTCCACCTTTAGAAAAACCATCACAGTTACTAGTCCGTATGTATGTCGCTATTTCAGCACTTTTCGAAATGTGGCAAGTGGTCAATGTGTCTTCGATCAAATCAGAAGCTGGCGGGAATTTACTGCGTTGGCTTTTACGACACTTAACGCGTTGCCCAATAATGATACTTATGAGAAGTTTGGAGCTAATTGCAATAAAGCTACTGCCTCGATACTTTCCGCACAATTTGCCCATTGATCTGACGGACGTTTCGGTTAGAAACTAAATGCTGCCAGGCAAGTACACTTTCTGATTGTTTCCGATACAATCTAAAGTGATTTCTGTGACACCTTTTAAAAATTGGGTTGGCGTTGAACAATCACCAGTCTGAATGCACCTCTCCACTCCCCTCTATGGTTCTAAACAGATCTGCTGAAGCAGCGTCGATTCGTCCCCTCCCTTTTCCAGCAACGATGCAGGAAGGATGTCTGTACCAGGTACCTCGTTTCATTTCAACAGAGCTCCTTCTCTTGCAGTCCGTTTTGATGTACTGGAGGTGATGTTGATGCCCACTCAAGTTCCTAGGGTTCATCAACCAACGATGTTACAGTAGACCTGCTACTATATATATATATATATATATATATATATATATATATATATATATAACAATCTGTGTAAAGATATTGTGCCATCGAAACCATGGCGGAATAGGAAAACAGGGTTAGATTAAATGAAGTAAGAAAACAGACAAATTTTGTGTCCATTTTCCACTTGCGCTTTTTGATTCTTTTATGTTTTTTATTGGGGGAGGGAAGAGGATGATTCATCCATGCTACGATGGTCTCCAAAATATCCCGCTGACTAAGCCCATTTATACCCGCCACACAGTAGACCGCTCAACTCACTTGTACACGTCTGCCGTAGCATCTTGTTCATATCTACTGGGCTAATCACTTAGTTTTCAGACTATCCCTCTTGTGACCCGCTTATCTCGCGTAATGTCGCCTTAGTCAAGTCTTTTCGGATGGGGTGTTGCTAGTGGCAATCATTGTTTTCTCCATTGCTCCGAGACTGGAACTTAACGTGATGCGGTGGTTTGCATGCCTCGACGATGCACTTGGCCATGCTGGGTGGTGCTTTTGCAACTTCAGGGACACTTACCAGATTTGTCAGTAGTTAGAGGCCTGAAAACTCAATCTCCTGGTCCTCCAGGTTGTGGGTTGGAGTGATGGTGGCTCCTTCCTCCATAAAACGGACTCAATATAGCCTAGTGCCAAAACCCCGCTGCCTTTCAGTCAATGGCTTTGGTTGAGAATCCTAATCGTTCTCCTTTCTAGGCCTCGGCAACCTGACAGTACCCTGTCCATGCAATACAAAATTTACCTTGATGCTCTGGCCGTCACACAGAATAATAAACATACACACACAAACACTATACACGTTAACTAGAGGTGGGAAACATCTCAGCTACTGTGCCGCAATACCTAAATGAAAAAAGGGAATAAAATGCAACAAGTGCAAGCCAGTTGAGCTACCGGTAACAAATGGGCATCGTTCCGGTAAACTACCTGCCGGCCACCATGCAGCAGAACAAAAAATAATTTACTATGCAGAATTATAAACTGCTAAATAATGAGATCGTTGTTAGAAGGAGAGGCTAAGAGGGATGGGGTGGGACAAAGAAATTCACAGCACTAACGCCACTGAGGTCGGTTCTTAGCCATCTCAACAAGTATATCCAGCCAAATGTGTTCACCAACCAGGGAGTCGCGACGTTCCAACTGAGGCCAACTTCAAAGTGAGGGCCGTCATTCCTCTCGACCAAGTCATCGCTTGGCCACCTCTCCTCTTCTTCCATCCACACCCCCGGCGCGCAAGCAACTCACGTCGCGGGAATCGGTGGGCTGGCATGCGTAACACGTGGCTGCGCCATCGGAACCTGGTGCGTGAAATAACGTTACTGAGCAGTTCATTTCCTTTTCCTGTGCCGTAAACAAGGCGCAAACACGCTCGTCACTCACGCGGTGTTCCCACCAGATAGCTAAATTGCAAAGGCACCGGTGCTCGAACGTAACTAGCCTCTTTATGTCCGCTGCTTTAAGCGCGCAGGTTTCACAACCGTACAGTAGGATCGAACGGACCGCTGCATTGTACACTCTACCCTTCAGGACGAGAATGAACTAGCGCCGGCGCCATAAGTGGCGATGGTTAGCAAAAACGCCTCGAGTTTTTGCTATACGGTTTGTGATCTCATCTTTAGTCCCACGGGCGCTGATACAAATTCCCAGGTAGTTGAATTTTTGAACGACTTCTAGCTGATCCCCACCAAGGGTCAGCGAAGGAGGCGGTCCAACCTGATCTTGGAGGAACGCTTTGCACTTCGATAGTGCAAAGCAAATCCCGAAGTGGTTGACAGCCTGTGCTAATCTGTCCAGTGCCGCTTGGCACGTTTGTGAGCTGTCACAGAGGAGGGCAATATCATTAGCATACTCCAAGTCAAGAAGTCGTTCTCCTGGGAGCAGATCCACACCTAAGTCGTGTCCTGTGTACGCGGTTTCCATGACTTCGTCAATAGCGAAATTGAAGAGGAAAGGTGAGAACGGGCATCCTTGTCGCACACCGCTGGAGATATTAAAGGGCGACGACAGCTTGCCGTAAGCCCTCCCTCTGCCTGAGCTACGCGGGTATAATGATCGGATAATATTTACATATTTCTCAGGTACACCTCTCCTGAGTAGACAGTCCCAAAGTGCACGTCTATCCACCGAATTGAATGCGCCTTTGATATCGAGGAACACGGCAACGGTGGGCCGCCAATATATGTGACTATGCTCCGACTACTGACGCAAAGGGAAGATGTGGTCAATGCAGCCACGACCTCGACGAAATCCAGCTTGCTCTTCACGAATATGGCTTTCACAAGTGCCAATCAGTCTGCGAAGAATGACAGAGGCAAGCAATTTGGAGGCGATGGAGATAAGACTGATTCATCTATGGTTGCCGCATTCCGATCGTAAGCCTCCTTTGAAAATTGGGACTATGATGGAGTGGCTCCAATCGGTTGGGACAGTTTCCTGCTCCCACATTCTCACTAGTAACGCGTGTAAATCATCCACAAGAGCAGGTCCCCCGAATTTGAAGAGGGTTGGAGGAAGGTCATCAGATCCCGTGGCTTTATTTAACTTCAACAGTTTGATCTCATGTTCGACTTCTGAGCGAGAGGGTGGATGCAAATGAACAACCCACGGAGCGGGGCGATCACTGGTCGGCGAGAAACCTAACAATTCCGACCGATTAAATTGCCGTTCAAAGTGCTCAGCCCAACGTTCCAGGCGTTTTGATAAGTTGTGGATAGGCTGTCCACTCTCGTCACGTATAGTTTCACTAACACCAGGTCTCCTGCTGCCCGTTTCCCGTATAAGACG